TATATATATATATATATATGGCATTAGTTCCCGAGCTAACAGTATTAATTTGAGCACTAATGCTATTTCACCATTTATATAGCTTGGTGTTAGCGCAAAGGCTAAGAGGCTAAGCTGAGTTTCTTCTTCCATGAAGCAGCTCTGTTGTCCTCCATCTATATTTTCAGTTACAGACTGAGTCATTTCTACCTTCTCCTCTCTGACAAGGAGCTCTGGTTTCATCTGATCATCAGATATTGTCCAAGATTAACCTCTAGAGTGGATAAGAGCTCAAACAGTCTCGTACCAGATAACCTAGTGAACGTCATCATTTACCCAGTATGCTTTGCAGCATTAATAAAATGGCTCCATCTGTGTGACAATATATTTTTAAAAATTTAGAAAAACTGAACAGCCAACAGTATTTGTTTTACAGTTCAAATAAATGTTTATCAAATAGTGTCTAATTTTACAAGTAATCATGGATCACGTTAACACCCAGTAAATCATTATAAAAATAACCAAACTCAAAAAGTTATTTATGTACGCTAAAAAGTGAAGTGTTGAATTTACTTAACCAAATAATGGTTAAGTAATGAGTAAATATAAAGCAATTTACTCAACTCAGTTTAAAATCAACACTTCGTTTCTTAGAGTGTGTAAAAGTACTTTTACTTTCCTGATTATTGTGAGCACTTTTATGACTTTTAGTACTTTCCTTTTCAGTGAATTTTTTTATTACCCAAGTCATAGTCTGTTCAGGTATTTTTATTTAGTTATGCTTTACTTACACACCTGCTGTTTTTCCCTTCAGGTTATATGACGATGGGTCCGGTTCAGGCGGCTCAGTGGGCTCAGCAGCCGTTCTCTGCTCAGGCTCAGACCCTGGCCTTCCCGGTCCAGGGGCCCCTCCAGGTGGCTCAGGTCCTTCCCGCCGGTCAGCCTCTCATCTGGAGCCAGGCCAACATTTTTTCTGCCACCCAGCAGCAGTGGGCAGCCATGGCAGCCTACATGCCCACGCAAACTGTGGGCGTGGGGGGCCACGCCATCCCGGCCGCCATGCTCCAAGGCTTGGTGCCCATCACCACCGTGTGCCCACAGAGCTGCGACCTGTCGGCCCCCTCCTCGGCCATCACTAGCCCCCAACACACGGCTGACCCCGCCCTTCTCCACAGGCAGCTCAGCCCGGGGAAGGACAGACTCTGCGTGGACTCAGACGCAGGAGAGGGACCCTCCACGTCAGGAATGGTGGGTGTGGGAATCGGTTCTGGGTCAGCATCAGTGAGCAGATGTGGGACCCCCGGCCTCATGACTGTGCCCGACTCACTGGTCTGCAGTCAGCTGCTGCCTCCTCCGACAGCTGCACACCAGGAAGAGGAAGGCAGCTGTAGTGATCTGGATCTGTCCAGGATGACTCTGAGCCCGGGTGCATCGACGTCACCGTCTACTGAGTCTCGTAAGTGTTTCAGAAACTGTCCCACTGCATCACTGGACTGAGCAGAGCAGTTAATGTCTGCAGTTGAGGCATTTTTATTACCTTTCTCACTAAACAACCAAAAACAGTCAAAATAAATGTGTGTTTGTTCAGTGAGAGCAAAAAAGTACAAATAAAGGTAGAAAAAAACAATTCTGACAAAAGACAAAGAATTAACCGAAGGCTGAAAATGATGCCTGAACTGAAAATGTAAAAAATGCCAATAAATACATAACATACATAAAAAAAAACACACAAGTTCAGGACAAAGGATAAAACATGTAAATTTACAGAAGTAAAAAAAAGGAAACAAATAAAATGAATAAACGATAAAGTCAAAGTCCCACTGAGTCAAACGCCAAGTGTTGATGCTGACCTTTGACCCAGTGTGAGATGTTGCGTCATCAAAACTTAAATAAATATCAAATGGACTTAACTTTGAATAAAAATGTTTGCAGCGTATGCAGTGATTAAATACAACTTAATATATAAATTAAAACTAAAAAAATAATCAATATTATTAAAAAAAAACAACAGTTAAAAACTGCAGAGTCATGCTGTCACCTGTTGTTCTTGATTCAGTGGAACAACTTCACATATCAGAACATGTTCAGGTTTTTCTTTGAGATGAATCATCAGTAGAAATCAAAAACGCTAAATGTTCATTTATTCATTTTATGTATTGTTCTGTAAGTTTAAAAAATGACTGAAGTTGAATTTTTAAAGTCTGATCAAAATGAATCTGTTTCTCCAAACTGTCATTCAAATAACAACCTATAACAGGTAACATATTGACAGTTCATAAAATTTCCATAGAACCCTGATTTCAAAAATATCTTAACTGTCATGGACTAATTATTTATATCTGTTTCCCCTTGACACTGTCCATCGCTGTATCTTTCTGATAGCTCGTTACGCTCTCGTTGTCTGGACAATGGGACTCCACAATGGACTGGTGGGAGTCTGTGATTGGTTGTAAACTGTCACATGGTGTTGACATGATGTATATCATTGGCTGAATTCTGCTGACGCGCCCAGTAGCAAGCGTGCAGAACCTTCCTGATTTCAGTTCTGTGTGTTTGTTGCTCACAATTAAATCATATTTGATTATCATATACGCAGACTTTTTTCGTATTATTCCAACGTGTTTCTGCTTTTGCGACGACATTAACTATAAACAAAACTTTTATATTCATCTCCAGCATCCGACTGTTAGAATTTGTTTTTGGTGTTTAAAACCTAATTGAAATGTATAGCTAAATAAACTTAGCTCAAAAAGTAAGTAAGTTAGATTATTTCTTTGTTGTAACAATGTTTCTTAATAAATCTTTTACTGTTGGAAAGTTTGTAAAGTTTTTAAGTTTGGTTTTTCCTTTTTTAAAGGCACAGTGTGTAGGATTTGTTGTTATCAGCGACATCTAGTGGTTGAGTGGTTGAATCATCCTCCCTGGTCCTCCCCCCCCCCCCCCCCCCCGCTTCCAAACACAAAAGAGTTGCTACGGTGTCTCTCAGGTGTCAAAAACCTTTGATAATTCCAACCGCGATGTCTACCAGCAGCTTCAGGGCTAGTGATGTTTCAAGTGGTAAGATTATGAGCTTTAATAAGTAAAATTATCCCAGCTACAATGACAGACAACAAATATTACATTTATAGTATTACAACTAAAACCGTTTTTGACGCCGCCACCGCAGTTTGTCCTTCATGAGCCTTCGTAGACAAGATGGCGGTGCAAGATGGCYGCTGRCTGTYMGGCGACCCGRGACRATGGAGATATAAACAYCTTTTTATAAGGTAAAAATAATAAAACAAGGTCTTTGTCTGCAATGATTAGACATGTTTTTTATTATTGTCATTAGTGATTATCTCAATTTTGGCTAAAAGACTTGACAAAATCCTACACACTGTGCCACATTTGTAAGGATCATGCATTTGTGGGATGAGCAGTAGAGCTGATTATGTGGGTTGCACACAAAAAATTTTTACCAGAACTTTTCAGCCGAAAAGCTTATTTTGCTGTTGATTCTTGTTTTGAGCTTCTGGGTCCCCCAGGTGCCGCCATCAGACACAGGTATAAGATTTATTACCAATAGAAGCGTTGTTGCAACAAAGAAATACTTTACCAAACACTAATTTCCTTACTTTTTGTGGTGAATATTAATCTGATGAGGTTAGTTAATTTGACACCATAAATAAATCAACGTTAGCATTAGCTTCAAAGCAGCTGTATGTGCAGCGCTGCAGACTGCTAGCATGTTAGCATCCCCTCAGTCTTGTTTCAGTTGTGTGTGGAGAAGTAGACAGCAGGATAAATGTAACCAAACGTCAGGACAAAGAGCCGTGTTTCATTTAATAACAGCAGAATCCTGAGGGGGCGGACAGGCGGGAAAGGTCAACATCTAGATTTCATTATTTTCTGTCAACACGTTTATTGGACATTTATCTTCCCGTCTTTCGCAGCCTCCACACCAGCCCCCCAGCAGAGCTCGTCCTCGGACTGCGCCCCCTCCCAGGCCAGTGACCCCTCGACGGATCACTCCCCCGTTGATCCAGAGGGCAACCCCGGCAACGCCAAGGAGGAACAATCAGTGAGTCCTAACACACACACGCACACACACACACACACACACACACCCCGAGACGTGTCAGCAGCCGACGAGCTGCGTGGATTTGACTGACCGGCATCATCCTGTAATCCACCGCTGTCGTGTGGAGGAAGTGTTCTCTGCTGGGCCAGACTTAATTACACACAGCAGAATGTCATGCGGTTATTATGGCATCGAGTTTACACTGTGTTTTTTTTAAGAAGAAATGTCAAATCAATTAAATACAAAAGGTCAAACATGATTTAAGTGTGCTGATTAGATCATATGTAATTAAAAGCCAAATGTTCCTTGAAGGAAAGCCTCTCGTAGCAGAGCGTGAAGCGAAGAGCTTCTAACGTTGAGAAATGTAGGCGAGATTTTAGTTTAACCTCATGCTGTAGATCAGTTATAACTCAGAGTATGGTTGGAGAGGACTCTGCTACTACCACACCAAGATTTAGCTCAGTATCTAGAAACTGGACTGAGTTGTAGCCATTTTGCTGTTTGCTAATGTACACTAGCTGTGGCAGTGAGTTAACCCCAAACTTTTACCATTTGTCACAGTTTTCAGGCAAGAAAGAACCCAGGGTGCAGGCAGCTTCAAAAAGGCAAAAGTAAAGATGTATTAAACAAAAAATAGTGACAGGGCAGCTCAAAATGCAAGGAACCATCACAGGCTGTAAACAGCACAGTGATCAGACGAACACTGAGGGCAGAACACAGAATATAAAGGCCAACTAATGAGAGAAAACAAGAAACACCTGGGAGAGAAACATGAGGAGCAGGTGAGAGTTGGTGGGGCTGGAGTAAAACAGGGGCGGAGCCAGAGGGTGGCCAGGGGTGGCCATGACCACCACAGACAAATCTTTGGCCACCCTGCTGTACACACCCCTTCCACAGTGAAACAACATTTAGGGGTGTAACAATCCTCCTGAACAGTTGGTGGCAGTGTTTAACAGTTTGAAACATCACCAAGCTCTATCACTGAAGAGTAATGACAAGGAAGTGATGATTTTATTTATGTACAGAACATATGCCTGTAATCTGACTTATGGTGTCAACTTTTGGACTTATGGTGACAAATGTTTTTGTTATTTATTTTATTTATTTATTTATTTTGTTGTTTGGTCACCAAAACACAGTGTCATTTTATGTTATGAAGGCTGCATGATGCTCTGTGTTTGGTTATGAGTAGGCCTATGACTAAATCAGAAAAAGTGAAACACCTCTCTAAATTCATTAAATTCATTAGGTAAACTTTATAATGTTAGTTTTAAACATGCAGTTACTAAGCAGTACTTAAATGTTATTTCATTGTGCTCTGTACAATAACAATAAAGGCAGCATCATCTTCATCACTTGAGGGTCATCATTATTTGGCACAATAACTTGTGTTACAATTAAAAATAAATCAACAGACAATATAAAAATAAAAAGCACCCCTAAAGTTATTGGATATGTTAAACTGTCACATTAATTAATCTTATCTCAGCTGTAGCAGTGAGTTTAAAAACAGGATGATGGAACTAAATTAATGAAAATTCTGTCTCTGAAATATTGAATCAAGTGTTAATTTAAGCAGGTAAAAATCTTTAACAACCTGGTAAAATACACCAGAATGCAGTAAATGGCATCTACAGTGGGTAAAATAAGTATTGAACACATCACCATTTTTCTCAGTAAATATATTACTAGAGGTGCTAATGACATGAAATTTTCACCAGATGTCGGTAACAACCCAAG